ATTTTCACAGTTGTACCCATGATTAAGTCTTGGAAGTTTTTTTTTTCTAATAGCATACAAAGTGTCATTTGTGGCTTTGCAAGTTTTGTCATCTGATGCAAAACATTTCCTTTTCAAAGCTCTCCTCGTATGTAGAAAAAGAAAAAATTGCAAGATGGTAAGCTTGGAGAGTATGGCAGACGACAGAACATAGGCACCTATGGCAGTGATCACTGGATGCACAATATTAACTACAATGACAACACTTCACATACAAAAAGTTGCTTTCACAAGACACTTTTAATGTTTGGATATAATGCTGGCAAAATTGTGAGGGGTTTGAGGGCTAATATTTTGAGAAAAACAAATGACTAGAAGATTCTGAAGATATATGGTTTTCTCTCCTCTCCATGAATTAAATGACCACCAATTCTATATTAAAAGTAACTGAGAATAAATTGTAAGTTTGAAAGTATTGCTACTATAAATACATTTATTCTAATTCTTATATTATGTGCATTTCATATATTGAATATGATTTATTATTTGGTAAAATGAATAAACAAGTACTTGCTAAATAGTTATTTGATAAAGTAACAACAAACTAGTAATTCTCTGCTATTACTCCTTTTACCATATAACAAATTACTAGCAACTCTCTAATTTCCAAATTGCTATTATTAAATTTAACAATTTATTTAGTTTATTACAGAAATTTTCATTTACAGATATTTTATTTTTGTTCTTTTAAACTACTGCAATATTTCTGTTTTTCGATATAGTGTCATGTACTGTACTTGTCTTTTCTCTAGAAAAGACAAGTACTCAAGAATATGTAGTACAAGAATGTGCTATATATTCTGTTCAAAAATAAGTTAGTAATCTAAGATTATTGAGTAAATTAATTTAATTTTCTATTTTTCTTAAAATCTGATATATTAGATCAAGAATTAGCAACCTTTTTCACAGGCAGAATTAATTTTTTTAAAAGATTGATTTGTGTAAAAACCAAAGTGCCAAGAACTGTACAATATGTAAATGAAAAATAAATTTTACATACTACAACTATAATTTTTAATGTGCAAATATAATTGTTATGGTGATTGTTTTTAAGGAAAGTAAATTGATAAAAAAACATACTTGAGATAAGATATCATTAAATGAAAATATAATGATTATTTTAAATGAAGTATTATGTTGTCAATATGCCTTTTTTGCCAACTATGCTGTTGTGTTGTAATTTCTCTTTTCATTACTTTTATAGTTTTTTCATTTATTATCTTTTCGATTCAGTTTCATCATTATTTTGTTTACTTTATTTATTCAGTATTTTTATTGATCTGTATTATGTATTTAGTCATTGTAATATAAATTTATTTTATTACTACTGTAATTTGTAGTTATTACTTTTAAAATAGGTTATAGAGTCAAGCTATGCTCTCTCCCATGTTTCATTTCGTCCTCATTTTCCTACGACACAATCATTTTTACTGCCATTGCATAATTGTCTGCTCATTTACTGGCATTAGATAGCTGTAAGGATTTCATATTGTAATGACCATGTATAATGAAAAGAAGCTTCTTCCCTTACATAAGTATTTTTAATTGTTAAGTCTGGAAAATTTATCTTGTGATATTAAAGTAAATTAACCATTGATGAAAAAATACTGTGCTAAACTTTTGTCTGTGGACTATGGAATATAGGTATTTCATAGTAAACATTTCAATAATATGTAATTTATCAGCTGCTGACCTATCTTATCAATCAAAATCTGTATGATGGGGAAAATGGATTGGGAGACACAAATCATTCTTAAAGAGCTACTGCACGAGGGTTAGCTGAACATTAGTTATATCTGAATTGGATAATATGTTATAGTGGAATATTATAAGGCTTGAGTTTAAAAGTTGGAATGCAGTGCAGGAATATAAATTTCAATGTTGTAACAAGGAGATAGCAATCTATTTCAATAATATTTTATGCTATTTAACTCTGTCTCTAATGCTGTTAAATAGTATTAAATAAACCATGTTAAACTTTGTATTCTCTTCTGCTAAATATAGCTTTATATTTCTCTTAAGTCATTTATATCAAGTGTAACTCTCAAGAAAATCTTCAAATATTATCAGTTGTTTAAATTAATTAGACCATTAAATAAATCTCTTAGTGCTGACAAAAACTGAAAATTCTCAAAATTGGTTAACCAGTTTGTAAATGTCAGATGCCAAACCAGTTTCAAAATTGCTTTGAATACAGTAGAATTAATATTTTATTATTGTATTTTATCAATCAAATATATTTATTCATAATAAGGAGTCCTTGTTACAGGGGGTAATGATTTAGATATAAATAATACAAATAATAAGTAAATATAAATTAGTTATTTATATAAAAAATAATTAATTAAACACAAAATATTTCTTATGTTGATTATTCAAATCANAATGGTTTGAATTTGTCCAGTAAAGTCACTGATTTCATTATGAATGGTGGTAATTTCTTTGTGAATTAAAGCAAATTGACTTTCTATTTTTTCATTACTAGTCGTTATCAGATCAACTATCTTCGTCCATAGAAGTGAGGTTTTGAAGTGTCCGATATTTCCATATTTGAAATTGCGGTTGAAGGATTCAAAGTAGAATTTTCACTAACCTGGATAGTTGGTTCTACTCTTCTTTGTTGAATATATTCGGTAATTAAGTTGATTTCACCTTCAGCTGGTTTAGTGTTGAATGATGATTGCGTTGTTCGGTTTGTTGGAGGTCTTCCTCTTTTGGGTGGCGTTTTTTTGAAGAGGGCCTGGATTCGGTTCAATTCCGGACATTAGTAGTAGTAATTGGGTTAATTTTAAATTAATCATTGTAGAAATAAACTCCAAAAAACACAAAAGACAAAATATTCCTCAGTAAAACGAAGTGTTAACAAAAACGCACCAATCTTCCTGACGAACGGAGCGCCCCCCTCCATTATTGTATTTTATTAACATTAATAAAATTCTACAGTGAATTCTTCAACCAAGATTCATGAATATGCTTATATCACATATTATTCTTGCCAAAAAAAGGTCATTGTTTCTTTGATGTTGGTAAATGATGGCATCTAAGTATTTAACAAATAGCATTTGAAAATTTTATCATTTAAAATTAATTCATGTTAGATTTTACATCAATTTTAATTTTAAAATTTAAACAAAAGTAATGCATGGTGGTGTTTTAAAAAAATTGAGGTTTGTAAAATTGGTGCTGTCTACAAATTGTAATGTTGCACTGAAATCTTCTGGTAGTATATCAGTTACAGTATATGGAATTGTCTTAAATCTAAGCATACAAGTCGATCCCCCTATAACACTGTTGATAATTTCGTTTTATATGAATTCCATATTGTATGAGTCACTTAGATTTTACAAATACGTGAGCTGTTCACAGCCCAGCACATATATTTGTAAAATATAAGTGTCTCGTACAACATGGAATTTATATAAAACAGAATTATCAGCAGTGTTATGGGGGGTCGACTGTATTTCACTGCCAACTAAAAGTGAAAATGGCAAGTAAACACAATGATATCATAGTAATAATATTGATTTCATTGACTGTTCAAAACTGATTTTGTTGCCAGCACTAGTCTATTTCAATAATGTAGCCTTCAATTCTAAGAAAATTATGTTCCAACATTAATAATAACGGGCATAGTTTACTAAAGACAGTATCTATTCCATCTTACAATAGCTTAATGAATTCTATTATACTGATGTAATAAAAAAAATATATTTCAAAAAATGGTTATAAAGTAGAAATGAAATCATCTGAAAAAGTACTAACATAAATAGTGTTAAACTGGTTTTGTTAGAAGTAGTATTACCAATATTTATCTAGATTTGGAAAAATGTAAATTATTTGCATAGTAATTAAATTTTAAACTTTAGCATTAATAATAATTTTTGTTTGTTTAAAAACTGGAAAATCTACAATAAATCTGTATTGTAGATTAGTGAAATTTGCAACTGTTTAACATAAACACAATTGTATAAAAATTTACTGCAATAAAAACTGTACAGTAAGATAAGAAAACTATTTTTATCAATAAAATATTTTTCCTATAGTAGTCTCAAATAAACAGGGTTTTCCAAAAAGAATACTACCATTTTAAATTACTATAATTAAAGTAGAGCGTCGTTTATTCGAAAGTCAATTATCTGAAACATCAATTATCTGAAAGAATTCCAGTCGGCAAATTTAAATTTTCGCCAGTGCTGTGGCGCTGCAATCTTTGGCTATGTCTTGGGCTACTCAAATATTTTACGTTTTTGATACTAAATTAACTTCTGAAGTATAATTTTTTATTGTTTTTATATTTTTCAATATATTTATTTTGTTTGTACAAAATAAAAAAATAATTTTTAACGATACAATAGTCTTCGTTAGGCTTAACATCGACGAAAATTTAACGTGAAGTGACACGCAACGGAGAAAAATTTCAACATGGGATAGGTTAATATATTTTTTCGTACATAATTGGTTATCTGAAATATCGATTTTCCGAACAACCCCAGTCCCCAATTGATTCGGATAAATGATGCTCTACTGTATGTTAATTATTACTTGGGAAATATGCAATGTAATCAGTCGATAGAATAACTGTTTAAGTTTCATCTACAATCTGCATTCAAACATGTTTTTGTATACTTGTCTCTAGGAAGTGCTGTAAATGACAGTTTTAAAGTGATCCATTATGACTGATTCCAACTTTGTGAACTACAGAACACAAAACACTTTCTCTGTTATGGAGTTGTCACTTTTATTTATGGTGCTTTCTAAAGACAGCAGATTAAAAAAATGTTTGTATGCAGATAGAGTATATGTCAGAGTTTCATCTACTATCATACTTTTCAGGTAATAATTAACATAATTACAGTAATTTAAAATGATAGTATTCTTTTTGGAAGACACTGTATTTTAAATTTCATATGATGGTAAAATATTTTTGTAGTTTATTATTAAATATAAATTATTCATTTCAGAAATCAATAATTCTCATTTGGAAGCAGAATTTAGTCATAATTATATTAAACAAAAATTGGAATGTGGATTATTGAGAATATGGCAGGATGTTCAGCAAAAAGTGAAAACATACATTTCTTCATGTGATTTATCTTCTTTTAAATTTGATGAATTTATTAAGATTTTGGATATAGTTCGTAGGTTGGTACTGAAATCTTATTATTGTGATAAAATTAATTTTAACAAAAGAAATGATTTTATACTTAATGTTACTTTTTAGATTAATGGATATAGGGGAAGAATTCTGTGAAAGCAAATCTGAAGATCTACAAGAATCATTGAGAAAGCAATCTCTTAATTATTTCAGAAATTATCATAGGTATTAGTAATTTTAATTATTAGAATGTATTNTTCGGATAAATGATGCTCTACTGTATGTTAATTATTACTTGGGAAATATGCAATGTAATCAGTCGATAGAATAACTGTTTAAGTTTCATCTACAATCTGCATTCAAACATGTTTTTGTATACTTGTCTCTAGGAAGTGCTGTAAATGACAGTTTTAAAGTGATCCATTATGACTGATTCCAACTTTGTGAACTACAGAACACAAAACACTTTCTCTGTTATGGAGTTGTCACTTTTATTTATGGTGCTTTCTAAAGACAGCAGATTAAAAAAATGTTTGTATGCAGATAGAGTATATGTCAGAGTTTCATCTACTATCATACTTTTCAGGTAATAATTAACATAATTACAGTAATTTAAAATGATAGTATTCTTTTTGGAAGACACTGTATTTTAAATTTCATATGATGGTAAAATATTTTTGTAGTTTATTATTAAATATAAATTATTCATTTCAGAAATCAATAATTCTCATTTGGAAGCAGAATTTAGTCATAATTATATTAAACAAAAATTGGAATGTGGATTATTGAGAATATGGCAGGATGTTCAGCAAAAAGTGAAAACATACATTTCTTCATGTGATTTATCTTCTTTTAAATTTGATGAATTTATTAAGATTTTGGATATAGTTCGTAGGTTGGTACTGAAATCTTATTATTGTGATAAAATTAATTTTAACAAAAGAAATGATTTTATACTTAATGTTACTTTTTAGATTAATGGATATAGGGGAAGAATTCTGTGAAAGCAAATCTGAAGATCTACAAGAATCATTGAGAAAGCAATCTCTTAATTATTTCAGAAATTATCATAGGTATTAGTAATTTTAATTATTAGAATGTATTGATTTTTTTATTTAGTATATTTAATACTATAAAATAAAATACGCTTTTATAGGTTTTTTAACATTAACTCATTATCTGCTGTACTGTAGATTTTCTATTTAATTTGTTAAAATGTCAAAGAAATGTGTTAAATATCTAATTATTTTAATGCATGTATATAGTTTTTAATTTAGAACCAATAAAAAAATATACTTTATTTTTTATTCTTTGTAAAAGAATACATGGTAATGCCCAATGAGCAAAATGAGAACCCCACATTAATAATGAAAAAGGAATACCCAAATATTAAAATAATAAATTCTAAAAAATTTTTCTTTAAAAAATTCTTTAAGAAAATAACAAGTGACATTCACTTTTTAAAACCAATTTCGATAGAATTAAAAACAGAGATGAACTAGAAATCTATTTAGTATTTCTCACTTTATTTTTCTTTTACCTTTTTTATCTATATATATATATTTCGCTTATCAGCCTCATCAGTGGACGTCAGAAATACCCAAATTAAATAATAAATTATATTTACTTATCTCGTTTTTCTTAACCCACATTCTGAGGTGTATGTATCCAACAGATACATGACTTTTTTTAAATTGAATTTCTCAAAAATAAATAACAGTTGAACTGCAGGCTTTGTAGTATTCATCAACTGATATGTTCTGAAGAGATTCCTACATTGGTTTTCAAGTTTCTGACCCTTTTTCAGAGAAATTTTACAAAAAAACAATATCTTTCTACCACCTGCAATAAATCCTCTTGCATTGTGAGAGTGTTGTACTCTAAATTGTTGCATATTACAATTGCGATTCAGTAAAATAACAATGCAGAATATTTACACTTTACACAGTGCTACATATTCTATTTTTTTCATTCAGTTTCAATGAGCAGATTAATTTCAATTTATTTCAAATAAGTCATTGCAGCTATTTTTGACAATTTTCGCTTTGGTGTTATCACACTGCTTTCTCACAATTAGAGCATGATATTAAATTTAATACTTTTAATTTTGCAACATATAAAATTTATGTTTATTACATAGCAATACCATTTAGTAATTGCGACCCAAACATTTATTTGGTAATTTTATCAATATTTTTTAAATTATTAAAAATAAAATTATAGAATTCATTACTGGCAATACTAGTTGTTAAATCTAAATAAAAATATTTCCTTGAGTGCAAGAAACAATTTGTTAGTCATTTCACCCACAACTGACAGAGAGGGGAGTTTTTGAAAATAAAGTAATAAAACAATTAGCAATTTGTTGTCCTTCACAGTGGGAGACCAGCAGAGTCTATTGCTTTTGCAGGAGAAGAAAAAACAAAGCTACCCTGAAGTTGGAAGATAATACAATTCTGTGAAATTTAACAAATCTGATGTCAATAAGTAGAAGTTGAAATGATTTATAATGAGTTGAAATTTGATAAATTTAGTTTTTTGCATTTACAGATTAAATTAAAAATTCATTTTTTTTAAACCCACAAGTATTTTATACTGTTATCTAACAGTATAAAATACTTGTTATTTCTACACTTTCTCTACTAGATAGTAGAGAGAGTGTAAAAATCAAAGATATAATCATAGTCAAGCATATATATCTGTAAAAATGTAAAATTTGCATTAATTTTCATTGTGTGTCCTGTGGATACACATGCCCCAAGTGACATCACAATACTCTGTGCCCAAAGGACTGATAAATTGTAAAGTTAATATTTTATAATGTTAGTTAAAAAAGTTAAATATAATGTGTGATTTTCATAAAATTAATTACTTAATTAAAAAAATACTTGAAAATAATTTAGCTGGAGATACTAGAACTTTACAGAAAATCTACTTAATATTTTGATTAAACTTCCTTTTCTTTCAATATTTTAAAATAATTTTTTTAAATGAATTATTTTAGCTTGAAGTTTACTTAAAAAGAGAAAGAAATATTAAACTGCATTTTGAAATGTTTATAAAAAAAATAATTCTTAAACATTATTTTTCTTTTTTGTTTTCATTTTAAACAACAATGAAATATAAAACNCTGTACAGACGATAGTAAACTCAACTTACTCGCCTAAACTCTCTGTAGCGTGGCGCTGGATGGCGGAAAGTAGTTCGGCTGCCCGATGAAGTTTTACCGAATTATAGGAGTTTTTTTACCATGTTTGTACGGATACCGTCGCAATTTTTTCGCCATCATATAGGAATCCGAACTATATGAACCCGTGTTATAGGGGGGTCGACTGTATTACATAATATTTGGCACAGAGAGTATCATACTATTTGTCTACAATTATTGTTGTTGAATTTTCTTTACAAACAGTAAAATTGATTCTACAAGGTGGGAAATAAATGCTGGAGGTTGCAAACACAATGCAATTAGAATAATAATAACCAATTTTTTTTTAAAATTTGATTAATATAATTTGCATTCATTATACTTTCATCTTTTTTGAAATAACTTGAGCTAATATCCACATTAACAACGCACAAGACTTTGTTTAATTGTCAGTGTAAATTATAAAGAAGCTCACACTGTTTCCATTTACCATTTTAAAATTTGTAAAGCACCCTATAGAGTTCATTGGAATCACCAATGTTTATTTTTGAACTTTGTGGTTGAGGAAGTGCTGTTTATGATTTTCCCATTGCAAACACTTATTTGTTATTGCTCATGTTTACCCATCTCCATTGATGAAGATTTTGTCCTCCATCATTCACCGATTCCCAAAATTGGGTAAATAATCTTACTTGTTTTCATTGATTTTTCTTAAACTTCTCTTGTTTATATCATTTAGCCTATAGTAAAATTTGGTGTTTTATACGTTGTTTCACTTAGGTTCTTGGAAACTGCAGCTTTATCATTAATCGCTTTAGTTTCCAGCAATTTTTGATATTAATGTAATTAAACATAAAAAATACTTAAAGCCAAAAAAAAGAAAGAAATGTGTTAATTTTGAAGAAAAAGCTTCAAACTTTATTTTCCATTGTCTCGCCTTTCTGTGAAATTTGACACTGATGAGTCATTGTTTACACAGCTGGATGACCTTGAGAACATCTGGTGTTGGATTTCACAGGACATTCTCATAGACGTCTTGGGAGGACAAGGGTTTAAAGTAGGGTGAATACTAGCTGGTCATATAATTATGAATTTTTGAAGTATATATAAAATATCTGTCTGATGTTTATCAGATTTTCAATTTAAAAGCTAGGTAATTATTAAATGAAAACACATGCACACACAAATAATCTTACAGACCATACATATATAATTGTATTTAATATAAAAACTTTTTTTCATAAATATTTTTTTAGTTTTAAATTTTGAATTCAGAATGAAATTAATAAGTTTTTTGAATCAGAAGAAAGAGAGAAATTCTTTTTCTTATTAACACTGCAATTACTTTTCAGTTTATTCTAAAAATGTTAATTAAATGTACTTTTATTTCAATTTGCTTTTTCTTACTTTACTAAAATAGAAATTGATATTTCATTATGATTTGTTTAAATTAATTACAGTACAAGTTTAAATTATAATTTTATCATCATAATATAGGAGTTACCTTGAAGAATTAAGAATGTTTTTAGAAAATGAAAGCTGGGAATTGTGTCCGGTTCGAACAACTTTCAGTATTTTGCATTTACAGGTAAAAATCACTTTATTAAATAAATCAAAAAAATATATATCATACTGCTGCAATTTTGTAATTTGAAGTGATTAATATATATATAAAAACAATTCAGAAAGTTTTTTTTTACACTTTTTGCCATATGGACACAACTTATCTTATATTTGGCCAGGTCCACAATGGGGCAGCCAGATGATGATAGATGAGGCTTGACATATCTGGGATGGATCACTCAGAAAAATTCCTAGAATTACAGGCTGGTGCTTTAACCTACTCAGACATCTGGCTGTTCTAGAAACTGTTTTAAAGGCTATGTCTTTAATAAGACTTTAGTAAAACTGTTTAGATGTCTTTGTTTCTATCATTTGGCTATCACTCAGGCATATTTGAATATATACTAATTCTTAGTTAACAATTTGAGAAAAATATTCAAAAAAAGAAGAAAATAATTAGTAGAATTATCTGTAAAAATTATTGGGAAACAGAAAGATAGGAACTAATGAAATCAGTTTTTCTGAACATTTTGAAGAGCTAACAAGTCTTCAAAATGTTTAAAAGTGAAATGCTGGCTCTCCATTTCACATGATTGTGTTGTCTTCACCTGATGATTCATAGAGCGATGCAATTGCTGCTCTATAGTGCCTATACAATTTTCAAGGAATGGAAAACAACTTGCATTGAATTATGAGAAGTTTTTAAAATGGCAGCAAAACTTTCAACTTAAAATAAAGTTTTATATTTTAAAATTTAATTTATTTAACATTTAAATAGTAATATTTCACCTGACTTACCACTATTTAAAGCCATTTGCTTCCATACTTGTTTTTATCTTTTTGTTTTTATTATTAGGTTCAATTTAGTCATAAAGAATAGGATGGCATCTAATATCCTCTAACAGTTTTTCAATAGCAGTATCAGATCATCTAATATTTGTTATTTTTTGCATCTTTTTGAAATTTCCACATTACTCTGTATGTAATGCTAAAGATAACAGGTAAAAATATGTTATGTACACTTGGAATTATGGGTACTGCATGCTGATTGGCTGTGATAGAATCACCACATGAAAAAATTAGTTGTCCTAGTACTCTGTTGCTAAAGTACTTCAATGCAGTTTTAACTGGAAGGTGATTTTATTGTGCATGAGCAGTGATTGAATCACCATAGGTGATTGAATTTCTTCAAATTGTGCTTAGTGGAGAGCAAGCATTACAGACAATATAAAAATGTTTCAGCAAAATCGGAGAGACTTAAAACTTTTAAGTTAATACTATATGAAAACTATTATAAATCTAAATGCATTTATGTAATATTATAGCAGAAAAAAGTAGAAATGAAAGAAAAACAGGAAAAATTGCTTAGAATGTTCAATGTTTCTTGTGAAATGCATTCAAATTATCTTAAATTTTGTGTGGTAATTTTATGTTCATTGTAACTTTATGAATTTTTTAAACTATAACTTAAATTTTATAATGTTTTAACCAGATTTAAATTGTAACCATATTGATGTAAAATTAAAAAGAGGTCTGATGAGGGACATGTCCAAATTGCATATCCTCAGGAATCAATAAAAGCCTGTATATTCATTTTGTGTTTCCATGATTCATTCTCTCAAGCAATTTTATATGTATTCATAACAATTAGAATGAACATAAGGTAATCAAGTACAAATTTGTGTTTTCTTGTTTTTTTTTCAATTGAATGTATCAGAGTGAGTTTTTGGTCATGTTTATTGTGTCTTTTATGGTTGACTTTAACAGTTGAAAGTGCCATTATAATATGCAAATTATGTATTTAAAAAAACTTCAGATGGTGCAAATTATGGAGTGCTGCATGTGGTCTGCAGCAATTTTTCTACATTATCAGAAAGTGGATTTAATGTCATTTTACTTTTTCTTAAGTTAAAAAATCTTCTTGACATTATAAAATGTGACAGATTTCTTGTTGTTTGTGCTGAGTAGACAAAAAAAAGTTTGTGCAAAATATAGTATTGTTTACATGTCTGTTGGCTTTTCATATTAAGCTAATCTTTGTGTAAAGTACAGTGGTACCTCAGGATACGAACACCCCAGCATATGAAATTTTCAGGATACGACATAAAATTTGAACATATTTTTGCTCCACGATATGAACAAAAACTCACCATACGACGTTACATTAGTTCGCAGCGCCATTTTTTATTTACTTCTGTTCATTGGTCTCAGTCCGCGTGTTTGCTTTGTCGTGGAATGATCTCGCTCGATAAAGGAAATCTTGAGGTATTATCAGAAAGTGACTGATTTTCTTGAAAAGAAACATCCCAAAAAGATTCACACTGGCCATATTGTTGCTCGGAGTAATGACATTTGCCTAAGTCATTTTAGAAACATTTTAAAAAGTAGGCAAAGCCAAATCTCTTTGGAGAGGTATTTTACGAAGCGATGTCTATCCAGTGAAAGTGCTGGTGGAAATGAAGGAAAGAAAGCAAAAAGCAGTGAATAAAAATTTTAAAAAATATATATACAACAACACTAATTTTTTTAATCTTTTCTAAGTTATTTCTAAGTTATTGTTACATTATGTTATGAAAGTTAAGTTTTAGTATCATTTTTCTTCTCCCTCTCTTCCGCCATCAGTTTACACCTCCACCATCGTCTATCCTCGAAGATAAAGTGCAAATAAACTACTTTTTTTTTTTATCAATTATTATTCTATTATAGTTATTTATACATTTACAACTACAAAATGCATTTTTCAGTATGTTATGAAAGTTAAGTTTTAGTATCATTTTTCTTCTCCCTCTCTTCCGCCATCAGTTTACACATCCACCGTCGTCTATCCTCGAAGATAAAGTGCAAATAAACTACTTTTTTTTTTTATCAATTATTATTCTATTATAGTTATTTATACATTTANGACGGGATTAAAAAGCTACCATCAAGATGGCAAGAAATTGTACAAAATAATGGTGAATACATTATAGATTGAAATAAGATTTAATTAAAATTTTTTGTTTCTTTTTTTGTAGATAAAAATGCGCACGAACTTATGGACTTATCTGATATATAAGGTAAATAAGATTGCTCATTTTTATACATAAAAGACCTACATTTTAAAAAAGCAATCAATTCATTATCTTACAGTTCAGTTTGTTATATTGTCATTTGAGTCTGTTTTGATATGGCCATCATAATCAAGATCTTGATGCTCATCTTCTGATTCAAACTCATTATTTCCAATTTGGGTTTTCCTAACTGTCCTTTGGATGATAAGCTCTCAACTTATGAACTTGATCATGACTTTCCCATTCTCAATATTCAACAATATTTATAATTTTATTTCCAAAAATATTAGCTTTGGTATAGAAAGTGCATTCAACTGTAACAAATTTGAAGATGTAGAATTTTAATTAAATTTCTTACCTGTCACTCTAAACTACTTTATACTATACAGTGCTGTACTTCAAAGTGTATAGCATGCCTGGAGTTTGAGATCAGGGTTTGTCTGAATTCCAGAGTTTTATCAAGGAAATACAGTATATTTTTATACATAGTCTTTCAAAAAGAATGCTACAGTTTTAAATTACTGTAATTATTTTAATTTTTAGCTGATAAGTATACAATGTACACTACTTAATAGAGTAATTGTCAGATTTTCATCTTCCATCTGCCTTCAAATATTACCTATTACCTCTAGGAAGTGCTGTAAAGAAAAATGGTGACTCCACAACAGAGAAAGCATTTTGTGTTCTTCAGTTTGCAATTTAGAATCAGTCATCATTGTACAACATGAGTTTTACAGATAATTTCAAAATGATGCACCATGAAAGACAAACATTCTTTGATGATATTGACAATACATAAGATGAAATGTCAGCTTTCAATTTTATTCTCATTTTTCTCTGATGTACTTGATCATCCTGGACTTTTCTCTTTACAAATGCATCCTTTCTCCTGGAACTTTCAATACCAATGAAGAATGTTGGTCTTACATGGTGAATTATTTTAAAATTGTCTTTGAAGCACATGTTGCACAATGATTCCATCTTTGCAAACTGCAGAACACACATGCCTTCTCTTTTGCAAAGATGCCATTTTTGTAGCATTCTTTTTGGAAGACCTGTGTGTGTGTATGTGTGTGTAAAATTCATAATTATTTAGTTTTATTAGCTTTTATTTGTTGATTTTGAGTTTCTTTTTATTATGGATGTCTTTTTATTTAAATTGAATCTTACAATTGTGTACAAATATATTAAAAAAATCTAGCCATAATAAGATATATTGTTAAATCTTCAATAACTTTAGTAACTTACTGATATAATTATATTTTTAAATATTTTTGCTGGATATAGATGAACAAATATATTTTTAAAATCTTGTATGATTTTTAATATGAATGATCAGTTTACATAATGTCATTGTAAAAATAATTATAGTAATTATTTTCTAATTACTATATATAACAAAAAGTAAGTTAAAAATTAAATTGATGATACTTATTTGATAATTTTCAATATTACAAAATATAAAATATTGTCTGCAATATTTAGAATAATTTACAAATGGTATTTCAATGATTTTTAGTCACTTTATTATACTTTTAGTAATTTTACTGCACTATGCAGATTACTATAAAGTATTTGCAAGAATAGTATGAATGATGGATTACTGTTATTGTATGCTTTGCTATAGTTATCATCAAACATTTTTCATAATAAACATATGTATGATAATTAAAAATTTACAAATTTAGAACACTCGAACATAAAACAAAAATGTCTTCATATTTTATCCTCTTCCACACTCCTCAGCAACACAAGAAGTTCTCACAACAGAATTGACTTTAATCTTGAGGTTCTCCTCTACCTCAATATTCAAAGCTCATTAAAATCAGGTCTTTTGAGTGGACCTGGTTTTAATGAGCTTTGAATATTGAGGTAGAGGAGAACCTCAAGATTAAAGTCAACTCTGTTGTGTGAACTTCTTGTGTTGCTGAGGAGTGTGGAAGAGGATATACACTGATATACAGTTTAAAAATATATAGTTGATAAAAAAAAAATTTATGATGATACGAAGATACGTTAAATGTTTATTCAAACATAAACTAAAATAAATTATTCTAAATTTGTGAAACAGTCGAGTCCGCATAAGTAGTCGTAGGTATAACTAGACACTGTTGGTTAAGTAGTCAGTTTTCTATGGTCCTGGTTGACTTACATTGGCATTAATGTTAAAAAAGTCTGGTTTACCTGACACTGTTTAAGTCACCATCACTAGATAAATTGACATACTTTTTCTGTCCCACACTCATTTAGACATCTGATAAGTCGATTCCTCTCCTGAAAAAAATGAGTTCACACCACACAGCTTAATGTCATAACAGAATCTGATTTTACATTTTCTCATCTTTGGTTCATGTGTTATTTGCAGCAAGTGTTTCACATTTCTGTTAATGAGTATTTGAAAACTAACAATGCTTACGCTGAAGGAAAAATATGAACTTGTATCTGAATTTGAATGTAATAAAACTTTGCAAGCCAAATTTGAAAAACAAGAAAACCTTCCAAGAGCAACATTGGTGGGAATTCTGAAGAAAAAAAAGGAAATTAAGAAACTTTTTCTTGGGTCTTTGTCGTGGCTGTCTCAAACACCAAGTCGCCATACAAAGATGTCGAAGATGCTCTGCTACGTTGGCTAAAGCAAATTGTTTATTGAATCTTCCTGTTTCAGAACCAATACTGAAACAAAAAGCGAGGGAAATCGCTGAGGTACTTGGAGTAGAAACCAACTTTAATGCCAGTGATGGATGGTTAGAGAGATACATTGCATGTACTTTATTTTCCTAATTGTAGTTTTGTTTTTTTTTTTCAACTTTGTTTTAGTTGTCATATCAGATAACTCGATACATTTCCACTTTCTCTTGGGTGTTGACTGTATTAATATTAATTATCATCCTGGATTTTTTTATTAATGTACTAGCTGCAAGGACCCGCTTCGCTGGGTTGTTATTTGTATGTAATATAGTTTTTTTTATATATATAAAAGACTGTTTNTTTTAATGAAGAACTTTTAAAATACTGAATATTTGATTGGTTTAATAAGTGAAATGAGATCACAATATACATCATATTAATTAAATGTCATTAAAAAAAATAAATTTAATAGTTAAGATTTTTACAATAATAGAAATTTTGCTAAACATTGTTGTCCCAAAAGTTTAGGTAAATTTCAAAAATTACATTTAAAAAAATTTTTGTAATATATTTATTAGATATTAGATCCATACAGTGATGTTAGTTTACTGGATCCTATGAAATAATTTGTTTTGAAATTTAAAAATCTGTTTAATTCCTGGACATAAAATTTTTCTGTTTTTGTTCTGAAAATATTTAAATTGTTAAAAATATTAGTTTGTGAAACTTAATTTATTAATGTGAACCAAGCACATACTAAATTTAAAATAAATAAAGAGCATATTGATGATTGATTAGTTATTATAAATCTGTAGATAATGGATTTTTAACTGAGCAAACTCAAAGTTTATTAATCTTACTTTAATGAATTTGGAATTGAAATAATGTATAAATAATAATGCAGTCAATTATCTTTTTTAATTTAGTGTTATAGGAAAAAACTATCAGATTATATATTTTTCTTGTAATAAAGTAACAAAAATGAATAGTAATAATAATTATAGGTGAAATGGGCTTAGGTTTTCTTGCTGTATAATAATTCTGTACCATTAAGTAGTTTATTTTAGATAAGTATATAATAATGTTAGCAAATTTTCTCAGTGAAAAAAAAAAATACTATAAGAGTAATTTATAAGTAGTTTTAAAATTTCATTCTGCAATGCAAGATCACATATTTTTTGCAGAAGACAATACCTACCACGCAGAAGAATTTATTCAAGATACTATCCAAACTCAAGCGACAAATTCTGATTCATTTGCTCAGCTTACAAATGAGTCTGAAGTTAAGAACAGAAATTTTTCTGATGCAATCTCTGATGATAAAGATTATAACACAATGTCCAAAATCAATGATTTATCCCTGAGTCTCAAGAAACAGTGTCATCCATACAGTTTAGGTTCTCTTATTGGCTCGGGGGCCGTAGTGGGTGAGTAAGGGCTATATGCTGATGGCATGATTAGATCTGCTCTGGCATATGTAAATGTCTTCTGCTTGACATATATCTTAAGTTTTAAAATAAGCTTGAAAAAGCAAATCACCTGCATGTTACTGTAGACTTTTGAGCAGACTTGCAACATCAAATGGAATGTATAATGTTTTGTGGTTTAATATAACAGATTTTAATTCTATAATATGTTAAAATGGAACTTTAATGACAGTTTGTTATATAAGCAATATAATATCACAGCAATAAAAAAATGTTTAAGCAACACTTTTTTCATAGCTAAAAGAAGATTCTTATATAAATAATTTATGAAGAGAAAAACTAATATATTACTTTGATGAGTTTGTTGATTTCATATATTTTAATTTCAAAGTTTGATCAAATCTATACATCATCATTTTATGCTAGTATATATATTCATATGCAGTGATGAAATTTCATTAATTGTTGTTTATAGATATTTATCAAGCTTGTAAATCTCTGAATATCTTAAAATTAAACTGAAGATTAGCAAGTATATTATTTTATTTGTTCATATAATGGAATAATTTATTAAACTCACTTTCTAAGTTTTTTTATTATATATTTATCAAAAAAATAATATTGTAGTAACATACATAACATAACTTTAAATAAATTATATATGGGAAAATATAAAAAAATTCATATTATAGTATTTTTTTAAATATTTTGTATGACTCATTGACCTGTACCATTCTTGACTGTATCAAGTGAATTAATTCTATTCAAATAATATATATAATTCACATATCATTCTTTGAATTGATAAATACTTTAATTGCTCAGTTTTTCTCAAAATTGCATTTTATTAGGCTTAGACCTAGCAAAGGACAATAAATTTTAAAATTATTCACTATTTTTCTATTTTTACATTTGTCTCATGTTGTTTCAAATGAATCCAGCCTTAAATTAGCAGGAAGATTGTGATACCCTCCTCCTAAAGCAGAAATGTTCTTCTTTTTATGACTAGTTTTTTTATTTTGCATGTCAAAATTTGTTAATATTCCAGAAGAAACTTCAATTTCTATTCTTCATGTTTAAATTGGATTGCTTTTTAAAATGTAGGTCTTTTATGTATAAAAATGAGCAATCTTATTTACCTTAATATTTGAGCAATCTTATTTACCTACATACATATTTACATTGTGTATATACTATATTTCTTTGATTGAACCCAGAGGGATTTTTGAGGTCAGGATTTATTACCTTCTAACAGGAGATGACTGGGTAAAATTTTTAAAGAAATATATTAATTACTTGTACAGTTTTGGAACTGTCAATACTGTTTATTGACTGTGCTTTATTTTAGTTTTGACAGTTCCAAAAATGTACAAGTAATTAATATATTTCTTTGAAAATTTTACCAGTCATCACCTGTTAGAAGATAACCTCAATGACGTTTTTTGAAGTAATCCTGACCTCAAAAATCCCTCTGGGTTCAATCAAAGAAATATCAATCAATCAAATATATTTATTCATAATAAGGAGTCCTTGTTACAGGGGGTAATGATTTAGATATAAACAATACAAATAAAAAGTAAATATAAATTAGTTATTTATATAAAAAATAATTAATTAAACACAATTTATTTCTTATGTTAATTATTCAAATCATTAATAATTTGGTTAAAGAAATTTACAATTTTATACATATCTATTTTCGTTAAATTGCCCAGTTTAATTCTATAATCAAATTCGTTATTTGAAGAAAATATTCTCAGTGTCTGAAATCTTTGATGATATTTTTTCAACGCAGTACAGTCTCTAATTATATGAAATGCAGAAAAGTTGTTGGAATCACACCAATAACATGATTTAGTAAAATCTATATAATTATTATTCACAATTAAGGAGAATCGATTTAGTCTCAGTTGTAGTAATAAACGTTTAATATTTAAATTTGTATTCATTGTAATAATGTTCGATTGAGTGGGAAAACTTAGGATATGCAAATACCAGGGATGATATGTTGAATTGAGTAGAGAATTTTGATCACTAATCATCGATTGTGAAATCGCTGAATCCATCATCATAGTGTAAGCATTATTCCAATTGTCAATTGAGTTGTCAAGTAAGATAGTAGATACACCAAATGACTGTAATATTTTATTAAATTTATAGAACCAAGTTGTATTATTGGTATTATCGTTTCCCATTTTATTTTTCATTATATGAAGTAAAAACGTAATATTATCATCTTTAGAATGTATTAAACGATAGTAAAATCTTATTAATCTTTTCATAAAGAATGGAAAAATTTGACATCTGTTTGTTTCTGAGCGAATAGCATAACCAGGTATAGTACGTTCGAGTTTAAATATTTTGCGTAAATAGATAATATGGAATTTTTCCAGGTTATAAAACAAATCAATGGCCCAAATCGGACTAGCATATAGAATAGTTGACATTATTATTGAGTTAAACATTCTCATATGAAGATTTAAGTTTGAGATTTTTAAACTAGCTCCTAAATAGAGAGTATTATTTATTAATTGATTTATTTTATTATTAAGATATTTCATATGTGTTTGGAATTTACCATTCCAGTTGAACATTATACCCAAATATTTTATGTTATTGACCAATTCCAACGGTTGATTATTTATATAAAATGATTTCTCTTGATTTGCCAGTTTAATATTGTTTCTGAATATTATTATTTTTGATTTATCAGTATTGATCGTTAAATAAATAGATTTCAGATAGTCGTTAACTTTATTAATCTTATGCTGTAGAGTAACTTTTGTTGGGGCCAATAAAACCAAATCATCTGCGTATAGAATGTAGTGAAATGTTCTTCCATATATATTAATGCCTTCTGAATCATATAAGAATAGCTTATCTATTTCATTAATATAAAAATTAAATAGATAGGGAGACAATGGCTCACCTTGTAAAATTCCTCGATTTATTATAATTTCAGGATATCTCTGTTTTCCGTATACTATATTGATTTTGTAAGAGGAAAAAAGTTCCATAATTGTAGTTGTAAATTTGGTACCTGCACCAAATACTTTTAATTTGTTAACCAAAGAGGGTACGTGAATAGAGTCAAATGCTTTAGTAATGTCAATGAATGCAGCATAAATTTTTCTTCGTTTTTTCTTTAAGTATATTTGAATTAGTGAGTTTAATAAGAATATGGCCGATTCAGTTCCTTTGGATTTTATAAAAGCAAACTGTAAATTCGAAATTAGTTTTTGATTTGTCGTCCATTTTTGAAATCGTAATGCCAATATTGATGTGAAACATTTCCTTAAAGTTGATAGAAGAGCGATAGGACGATAGTTTTCTGGTGATAATCTATTTCCTTTTTTATGGATCATAAGTAGTTTTACAGTATTCCAAGATGACGGATATATTAATTGTTCGTAAAAATAATTATATATTTCAAGTAGTAT